TCTTGTCGAACCTGGCACTACCAGACCAGAATACAGCGATGTTTCTACTTTTCGAAAAGACCTACAGCCCATTTCTTGGCTGGTTTCATCGAAGCAACGTCGGGTTAATTCTCTGTTCAGAGAATTCAAAGATAAGACAAAATATGCCCCTCCAGCGGATATGAACTTAGCATCTGGAGGACAAATTGTGCCGCCATGCCCATCGTTTAAGACTAACTGTTTAAGCAAAGAATAGTTCTGACTATAAACTCTACAAGCAGTACTTTGGAGCATCTTATGTCTTAATTCTCAATGAAAGCGTGGTGAAATCTTTGCATCAGGCTGTCTACTACCTAAATGAAGTGATGGCAAGATGTTGTTGGTTGTATCAAGGTCAAGGACAGAGTAGCCAGATTACTGATGTTTGACATTTACATTAAAGAAGACTGTAACATACAGGAAAGTAGAATAAACGATTTTGAAGGAAAATAATGTACTTCGCATCGTCTGGGTTGCCAAAATATGAAAAATCCGTTAAAGAGCGCTATTCAACTTCGACAATTATGTCGTCACTTTTCAAAACCAAGGATAGTATTCAGAGGATCCCGTTTCCCAGAAAGTGAGTTGTAACAATACAAAAACAAAGATGACATATAATGACAAACATGATGATATATATATATATACGAAAAACTGACTTTTCAACAGTAATACGAAAAATATTTATATTTAAATGATGACCGCTGAACCTTGAAACTGCCTCCGCAACCACTTCGATCACAGGGAAACGAGTCCGGATGACTGCTTCCAGCTGAGCGATAACACCCTGGCCTGGGACACTGTGGATTGTCGCACTTGTAGATCTTGGCGTTCGCGTAGCCCAGTTTGATAGTAATGTTGCGTTCGAGTTCGTTTTTGAAGCGGACGGTCTGGACGCCTGAAATTGCTTTGACGACGGTCGACTTGCCATGGGCAACGTGGCCGATGGTGCCGATGTTGATCGTTGCCTGACGACTAATCACCTCCGGCGTCAGCGGTGTCAGCGCGGTGATATTCAACTTCGACAGGTCCTGCACTGCAAGGAATGACTGGACATCGTTCTCCACCTTCTGCTCAGTCTGATTCTCTTCTTCATGGTCCTCGACCTTTTCTGAAACCATTTCTTGATGTTGCTTCAATTGCAGCTAGCTAAACTAATAATAGTGATGCATGTATTATAAACTTCTAGGAATATCAAATTGCGAAAACCGATGTTCAAAAACGCAAACCATAAAATAATGACTTTAAATAGCACATATTCAGGCGTACAAGATTTCACCTACAGATCTGAGAGGACCTGGCTCAATTCCAGTACTCTTTAATTACTAATTAAATAAAAGTTGATTAGCTTAATCGCGCAGCTTCCGGGGTCATATTTGTCACTAAGCAGCAGTGGAAACGAAACAAAATAATCGATATAAGCCAGATGATAAAGCAAAACTAACAGAAATCTGTGTTAATTTGATTAACATGAGAATGCTGAAGAAATTTATTGATAAGCTCACATTTTGGAGTATACCCCTTGAAATCGAGCCCTGAAGGACTTATGTGGTATACTCCGGCGTACTAACACCACAAACTATTTATCCAGTAGCACACAACCCGTGTCGATTGCTTAAATATCCTTCGTAACCTACCTTAAAAAAGGGTCGTGAGACGGGCTGAAACGTCGGTACTGGTTAGCCACCGGACTGACCATATTATCTTTTGCGTTGTGTATTATTAAACCGTGTTTTATGCAATTTTTCCAAACTGTGTTAAAATGTTTCAGCAAAACTTTGCTTTTACTGTCAGCAGTCGATTTTGCCTTTCATCATACATCATTGCCGTTTAACTCCGAGCGGTTGATGATATATCTAAACTAAGTAGACTGAGAACTTGACTGGTGTTGGTTGTCATACTCTAAACATAATAAAACACTATGTTTTTAAACACAGCTAAACAATTTGATCAATCATCCGACTGACTTAGCTGCTTGCGTTGTGTATTAATAGAACATCTTTATCGCAAGTCACCTCATCCAGCACGTAAGGGAATTTCAGCTTCCGCTTCCTCAGTGCACAGACTTTATCAACTAGAAAAAGCATTCGACACCGTCGAGTACAAAGCAGTGTAAACCGCACTGGTTGAAGGGTACTGACACCCGCTACACTGACTTTATTTTAAAAAAAAACGAATTATAGCTGCTTCATACACACGACTTCAACTGCTCGACACCCCTTCGGAGAGACGGGCTTGAAACAAGAAGCTACCACTTCACAAAACTCTTATCTGTTTGTTTGTAAATGGTGTTCCGGAGGATGAACTGTAAGGGTTGGATTAAAATCAATGTTGAACAATTCAGCCACCTAAGGTTCACTGATGACGTGGTGTTGTTCGAGAAAGAGTTCGAGAGAAACATTGCAGAAATAGACCGCAAATCAGTCGAACAAAGACGAATTTACTGCGATAGGATGTCATGTGCAAACGGCGAAAAGATCATTAAAAGTCACTAAAAACATTTATCATGGAACTGAGCAATTTACTAGATCAACATTCGGCATGATGACAATAGATAGTTTCAACGAAGGAATAGGGTCGGTTGGCATGCATTCAATTCCAGCAAAGACATCCTCCTTGACAGTGACAAAAAAAACCCGCATCGCAGCACCTACATCTTTAATTTTATCGTTCTATTGCTAACGTTGAACAGTTTTTGAGACGTGGTAACTCACTAAAGACGAGAAGCGCTAGCAATATGTCACCGCGAGAGCCATGGAAAGAAGAATGTTGGGAATTTTACGTCGAGATCATATTCTAAACACGGGAATGAAGGACGCTGTCACTGAAATCAAAAGGAAGAAGTCATGGAAAGCAGTGCTCGTAGCTCAACTCATCGACGGGAGACGGTCAGCGATGATCGTCGATTGCCATCCTCGCGGGAGGACTAGGCCGTTTGGTCGACTACCATGAAGATGGGGAGATTATAGCAGAAACAGGGAAGCCGCGCCTGAAGGCACAAGACTTGAAACCAGGAGGATCTGCAGGTGTGTTGCGACAAGCGCGATTCGTTGCCGATTACCGGCCGGTAACAGAAATAAACAGACTGTATTTTATGCTGCTTTCATAGATACGATACTACAACTAAAATAATTCTTCAAAATAAAATAACCCCGATATTCTGGATTAGTTTCCAAGAGCGGGAGCTATCGATAACGACATTAACAATAATGATATTAGATTGAAACGCCAAAATGCAGGGTAAAGAAGAAAAATGTATCTCTTACTTTACACCGACACTGCGGTAGTGTAAGATAAATGGATGTCTTTCCGCAGAATTGCACCTCCCCCTTGCTTCTATAATAATTCTTCATTAAATTCTTATCACTGGATTCCTGTCACAGAGAATTTAGCAGCAAACAACGTGTATGATGTCATAAGAGAAAGAAATACACAACTAAACTTCAAATCAAACGCCACAGTCATGGTTAAAGTCTACCACGTGGCGAAAAACTGTCGGAATCGAGGAACGAAAGACTCTCCAATGTCATTACAGCTACGCTGCAATAATATAACAACCTCACAAGAGAAAACTACTGCGAACTTCATCCTTATTTCTGCCAAACTAAAACCTGATGAAACAAGTTGTCACGAAATCTACCTTCTTATAAAAAAGTTTACAAATGAGTAAATGATCAACGTGAGCATAAGTCTGAAATTTAATTGAAATAATGATGAGAAAAAATTTAAGAATATTACTTATTCACAGAATAGCAATTAAATAATAAATAACGAAAAATAATAAATAACGATGTAACACAACAGTCGCCTTTAAAGCTATTCATTTCAGTCAATTAGGTATAGTTTTGGTACTGTAGGTGCAAAAGATTACTGAAAAATACTGCTGCAAATAACTGAGTTTGTTGATTGCTGGTTACGTAGTTTTCCATTGTAGATGAGATGAGGCTGGTACATTTATAACTATGACACAAGCCAGGGTATCATCAACAGCGAAATGCTGCTCCCCCAATGTGATGCGACAGCTGCCACATCGATCTGGTGCATTCCGCGACAAATGTTCCACTCCATATGGTTGATGGGCCCTCAAAACAGTACGTTATTCAGGTTAATAATATGAAGTGAACCTTGTATCAGAATTAATCAGGCGATACTCTGGGATTCGTGAATATGAAAGATCCTGAAAAGTTTTGATCTGTTGATGCATAAAGAAATCAGCCTCGTCGATCTGAACTCAAAATCTTTTTCAGTTGGCCGATAGAACGAATCTAAGCACCGGCGGAATAAAATTACAGGCAAGATGCAATGTTTTATGATAAAGCCTCATTTAAGATCCAAAAAAAATCACAATCCTCCTTTGCTTTTCCAGTAAACGTTAAAGATTACTAAAATGGTGCTAGTACAAGAAATGTTTCACAGCGGAACGCATCAGTTGCCAAGCAAGAAATCATCTCACTGATCAATCTCGCTAACATGTACATACTAGAATCGTTATCGGAAGTGCGTTTAAGACTTTAGGTTATTCCAGTCAACAATTTATTTGAGCATATGCATTGGTTAATGGTGATCTGCCATATGTTTTTTTCACAAGCAATCAGCAATGTCCGTCAAATCGAAATTCAAAAATAATTTAATCTGAAGACGAGGATATAATCAAGCAAATACTGATTCGCAGCATGTTGAAATAGCAATTATAGTGTCACTTTCTCTGACCCATGGTTTGAAGCAACAACAACAACATCTTCTCAGCAGCATGCAAAATTCTTTATTCATTCAGGTACTTCAATGCCGCACACCAGAGCACCGTAAATGAATATAACAATATGAAAATGAAACATGCCTATTTTTTGAGAAACAGCTACGATATATTTTAGTAACGGCATTCTTTCTTTATTGATCATTTCGAACAAGATGGAATTTATGACCATCTTAATTTTTTCTTATATTCCTTCTTCTTTCAGAGCCACAAATCTCCATATCCAAATAATCTTCCTGTTAGGTTTCTCTAAGTGCTAATTGTTGAAATGTGTGGCATCAGAAGTGACCGAGTTGTTATTAATTACAGAGGGCACTAGAATGTGAAACAGCGTAATGCGCCGCTGCAAGCACCCTGCACAATAGCCTTGCAGGTGTCTATCGTGCAGCATGTCCATCCGATTAATGTATGTCGCCATATTCGTCATATCACAAATCTAAAGAAAATTCACTACTTCATCCTCAGCATATATCCGCATGTGGCGATGTAGTTCAGCAGCGTTAGTTAACAGTTTTGAAAAACGGTTTCTGTTCACTTTGCAGTGATAACCTGCGTGAATTTCACCTACACAGGCACAAACTGTATAACAGAGCTGTTCGATCTTTCATTTTCAGAAGCTTCTTAATCAGAAGTACAGGAGCAAGTGGATTTGCAAAACCGCACGTCAAAGCGTTAAACAGATTAAATATGTAGTTTTTTATGCCATTTTGAAACAACTAGTGCCGTTGGTTAGCAGACTGTTTTACAGAGGCTCAAACCACATGTGCAATTTTTCTTACTAAATGCTAATTCTCTTAAAAATTTACTCCTCTGTGATTCTGTGCAAGCAGACAAAAAGACGGTTACAGTTCACTGACCTACGAACAGTATGGGCTGCAAGGTGTTTCAGTATGGTCACGACAAAACATGTGTGACATAAAGTACCGTCATATACTATTTGATGCGCGCTATACGACTGCATTCGCTTTGACTCATCAGAGCGCTGACTAAATATCAACACAAACTATGAATGAAAATTTTTTAAAAATTTAAAAACCTGGCATGAAATAACTACTTTCAATTCTGGCTGCCAATTCTAAGGCAGGCTAAAAGAAGGGAAGGACTAAGGGTCTGATGAAATCTCCCATAACATTTGGTCACCTGCACCTCATCGTATCGACGCTATCGGTCATCGATCGAGTCACCAAGAACAGTGCAGCCCGTTAGGCAACAGAAACTGGGGCTGCGAAAAGTCTGCTGTTAGAACCTTCCCCACACCTTTTAGCAGATGGTAGTGTAGCAGGACGGCCAGGAATACCGAAGATCTACATGAGGACGACAAAGAAACCAGTCAACAACAGAGCCGCTACCCATTCTGAACGGAGAAAA